CGGTCAACGAACTGAACCCGGGGTTCAGCTCTCAAGTGCTGGACTTTATCCAAGACGCGATTTTTTTTTTGCTTCTCAGAAAGACAGAAGACTTTGGCCAACCCTGGGTTGACCATATGAAGAGCGGCCGACGTCGCCGGCAGACGCATAGTTCTGCCCGTGGCACGTTCCAACGGTATGCCACCGTCGGTCGCGAGGACCGACGAACCTTCGAAGACAGTCAACAGACAGACTGTCTTGGCATCCTCAGTGTACTTGTCAGCAGAGAAGTTCTCCGTACCACTTGGCGGTGTCGGCGGCAACGTCGACACAGGCGCGGAGGTTGGTGCGGACGCGGGGTTAACCGCAGGCGTCGACACTGAGGTCGACGCGGACACTGGCGAAGACGCTGGTGTTCACAGAGAGGCGCTCATTGCGAAATGAGCGCGGAGTTCTTTCGGAGGCTCGTCAAGGCTTGGATTGACGTGTTGTGACCAGCACGTCAAATCTTAACGGGGGGGGTGACGGGGTTACACGAAACTCTAACCGTAACTTAACCGGTTAGAGTTAGAGGTTTCCCGTCTTGGTGTGTTCACACACCAAGACTGCATTTGAAGGGATCCTATTGGTAGAGTGCGCCATACCTCTATCAATCAGCGATGCGAATCACTGTCAGCCACTCGCTGACAGTCCCTTAGATATTTGATAAACAGTTTAGGAAGGAAACCCTTTAAACAAACAATACAGTTCTCATTTTACGCTATCCAGCACTTATCTTGTCTTACCGTACACACGCATCATGTGTACGCTATACAACCTAGGAATACCTACGCTTCCTCCTACACGTGCGCACACGTGTACGCTAACTAGTGAGCCCTAGGCCCACTACACGACGTCTTTGGCCGCCGGGGGTAAGGGGTTCCCTTTGCAAATCAGGAGATGCCGCTTTTTCCAGATGATCTGCCGGAGCCTCTCGATTTCCTTGGGTGTGGCCGATCCGGAGTCTCCCTCCTGCAGATCCTCAATGCTGACCTTCACGGTCGTCGAGATCGGGATTTGGGGGAGGACAACGAGGTTTTCTTCGAGATCCTCAGCTGAGAGATCACCACTCTCATGGCAATATATCTCATCGTCGTCCTCGGCATCCTGTGGGGTGGTCGCTGCTGCTCCATCCGCCAGCGGATCTCGTGGTTCGACGCCCTCGGTCGGGAGGATCGGGGATTTTACGTCGAATCCCTCACCGGGATCGGGTTTGATCTGGGTTTGACCGTTCGGATTTTCCGTTTTCGGCTCGATATTCTTGCACCCAGTCCGATTTTCCGTCTTGATATCCTTGGTGTCTGTGACGTAGCGCTTGGAACTTTTGTTCCGAGCCCGAACGCAAGCGGTGGTTGTGACGCACCAGTTGGATC